CGTTCTCACTTGAGCAGAAGCAGGCCCTGCGCCCTTCCCAGGGGGGTTTTTGTTGCTGCATGTTGGCAATTTATCGTGTAGCCCAACTGGAAGCTGCCATCCATCATGCTCTCCACACAGTCTGTACTGCTAGTCTTCTTTGTTGATCTGAGTAATGCCTTTGACAGGCCTTCTGTATAAGCTCAGTTGCTGTGGAGTGCAGGGTGCTCTCATAAGGTAATTTCATGCTTACCTGAGTGGAAGGATGTTCAAAGTCTTCTTTGAAGGAGAGTACTCTTCCTGTAGACCAATCATATCTGGGGTGCTCCAGGGAGCAATAATTTCCCCCACATTGTTCAACAATTCGATTAGTGATATGATGAGTGATATCCAAACAGCCATCAATTAACTTCAAGACCAAATAAACTCATTGGTTAAATTGACACAGTTGGGGCCTAAAACTAAACTAGGACAAAACCAAAATTCTGTGCTTTACCACTAAGAAAGCCCACCTTCTCCCCATTCAAGGAAATGGACATAACCTGGAATCTGTTCAACAACACAAACACCTTGGCATAGTACTAAATGCACCTTGCCTCAAATGGGAGCCTTGCATTGAGATGTTGAGAACATTATGCTTGCCAATTCTTAATCTCAAATCCATTCACAATAGGCATTGGGGTGCTGATCACCTAACTCTCTTAAAGCTATACAAAGTAATACTTTACAGTAAACTTGACTATGCCTCTCCCTTCTATGCATCTGCTGCTCAATCACACTTATCCAAACTAAATGTTTATCAAAACAGTAGCTTCAGAATCGCTACAGGATGCCAAAAAACTACTCCAATCATTACTTTAGAAACTGAAATCAATATACCATCTCTTAAAATCCATAGAGACCAATCAATGTTCAAATACTATGCCAGATTATGACAATTACCCAAGTGCCCTGCCACTAATGAGCTCCTTCTTGCCAGGCACTCCTGCCCAGAGAATGCATACTGCTCCTTCATCCCACATACCAGAACAATATTCAATTGCATTGGCCTCTCATGTCCACGTCCTTCCACCTCCTCTTTGATTTTGCCACTGCCTCTGTGGTTCAATGTTAACTTCAATATTTTCACCAACTTGGACATTATCACGATGTTATCTATTTCACCTGCTGCCATCAGCCAATTGTTTCATGATCTTTCCCAAACTAGGTATGTCAACTGCATTGCTGCTTACACAGATGGGTCATGGGTGGAAGAACCAGCCTGCTCCACATCAGCTGCTGTGGTTATTCCATCCAGAGGAGTGTGCCTCAGCTGGAAACTCCGTCCAGAGGTACAGGTTCTGGAATCAGAACTCTTTGCCATACTTCAGGCTCTCACATGGGCTCAAAATAAACTATTAAGTGAAAATTTAGTGATACATTCATTCAAAGCTCTCTATTTCTTATTACAGATAGAAGACCTAAGCATTATTTGCTTCTTGTGTTTGAAATTCAAGCATAGATTTTCTCCTTGAAATTTTCTCATGTTGTAGCGTTTCGATCAACTGGGGTTCCATGAAACTAATGTGGATATGGGCCCACTCACCCCAAGGTACTACCCTTCTCAAGATGATTAGACTGAATTTGGGACAATGAAAACATGTTATTACAAAACGCTAGTATACTTAGAACTAAGGACCTAAACTTTAACAGCAGGTATCAGATTATCCCCAGGTGTAGCAAAACATATCCTTCACAGGTTGATTTAGGCTACTCAATGCGCAAGTCTTGGTTATGGAATTATGGTACTTGGCTTGACAATTTTACAGCACAACTGGTACAATTGATATGCAAACTACCGCATCACAAGAACACATCCTAGCCTATGACAACTGAGGATCAATAAACACACTATATACCATCAGATAAGTAGCTAGACATGGGATATAGTAGACACAAGGACGAAGAGAAAACTCTGTAAAGAGGAAACCGTGGTTATTTACTTGATTTCTGGGAGTAAGTGGTGCACCATCAGTACCCATTACTTGATGCACAGATTCATAATGACATATTGCTTAAGGGCAATGTAGTTGTGGTCTATTAGACTCCCCCAATCGCACACAGGCAATCACCCCAGGCACACACACCCCTGAGTACTCACCTGTCTAGTAGCAGGGCGGCCAAGAGTCTCTGACCACTAGGGATACTAGGCAGAACACCATCCAGAGAATCAGAAACCTCATGGGCACTGGAAAATTGCAGGATACTCACTATGTCTTTTTGTGAGCAAAAAATAAGACACCAGAAATTGGACAGGACACAAGAATTAAGGTTTCTAAACAATTACATGGGACATGGCTTCTATCCTACTTAGTCAAAGGGCTTCCCAGTCTATGAAGTGTATACTTACAGTCTGCATGAGGGCCAGGGCAGTGAATGAACGTACATCCGATAGCAACAAAGTATATATATATTCTAATGCAAAAGGTTACTTGACTAAAAAGTATTTGAACAGAGTTTGGGCTTAAATTCAAACAAACAACAGAACCCTTACACACTACTCTTAACTAAAAAACAGCCAGGTATATTGTTGGGATCAGACAAATTTTATTTTTAAATAAGCCTTGCAGCAAACGCCTAGCTTCAACATGCATTAAATTTTCTCAGCCTTAGAACTAGAAGCTGCTGACTATGCTTGAACTCCGTGATCCTGACAAGCAACACACTGCCAAAAGATAATAGCACTGTAGGTCTTCAGCCACTGCTTAAGCAAGCTTGCTCATAAGCATACAGTTCCTCATCCGGCTGTACCTACTCCGGCCTAACCTCTTCTGGCCTAACCTATTTACGCTGTCCCGGCTCACAATCTTCTTGCAGCCAATGACTGGCTCTACCAGCACACTTGGACTGCCTTTCTAATTTCTTGCAGCCAATGAGGTTAGGTTAGGTCTGCTCAGGTTTGTTTTGGGTGGAGAAAGGTTGTAGCTCATATAGGTTAGGCCTGAAGAGGTCAGGCCAGATGCAGTATGTCCTTGTTTAGCTTTGGCAAGCTTATTTTGTGACTGGACATCCGGCTCTATGGCTTTGAGCACTTGACTTCATAGGCTGTTATGCACTCTAGTGTTCTTACCTATGGAAAGGAATATGAATTAAGTGTGAAGTATGGCAAAGCTGGCCTCCGGCATGCGCCACAACAGAATAAAAACAGACTCAGGAGATCAAACAGGGGAAGAACCAGGCAAAAATATATTTAATAGAATCAGTGGTACATGAAGGTGAAAAATAAAGATTAGCAGGTTAGTGAAGATGGGACAGCCAAGGGCTATGAGTGATGGGGTGAACCGGCATGAGAACAAAATAACCAGCAGCCCAAACTGGATTGAACAGAACAGAGTAGATGATGATGGACCCCAACTAGAGCAGACTAGCAACTAGTATCACCAAACACTAGCACAACTGAACCAACCTAAAAACATTGATATTATTTACTCAAAATAGTAGGTCACTGGACTAGTCATGACTGTCATGTTAGGTTACTCCAGGCACAGCAAATCAAGTCACAGTTCTACTCAACTAAGTTGACACCAGGCATATGCCTTAATACTCCCCAATTAGAGATGCTAACTATAAGCCATTGAGAAATGGTCAAGAATGGGCAATGAGAATAACCTGTTAAGTCGATGCTTTTGTTATGTAATCAGTTAGGGCAACATCCAATTTAGTACAATATATATATATATATATATATATATTGTACATATTATATATGTAATATCAAAAGGCAGAATAAGCTTGTTTCAACACAGGTGGTTAATGGCCAGAGAATTTGTCAATTTAAATTTTCAGGGTCGAACAATATTCTTCAGATAACATTAGTGGATCAAATTACCGGTTCAAGGCAGTAATATCAATTTATTAACAACGTTTCGAATGTAACAACATTCATTTTCAAGTTAAAGGAAGCGTTGAATACAGAAATTTTGATGGAAATAAGTAGGTGATACAAGTAAATAGGAAACAACAAGAAAATTTGGAACCATGAAAATCATTCTAAAACAATCTCAAAGCTTAGAAAATCAGGTAGTTATGAGATGGATAGATGGAGTCCAAACCGCAGAAAAGGGCTTCAGCTATTATTGATCGGATTATGTCAGGCCACCGCAAGATGACGATGCCAGTGGGTTCCTCCAGCACAGTGCAAGTGACAGTCTCGTTGAGATTGACGTTTTCAAGAGTGTCACGGGGCCTATTGATTTCATTGCGGATCTTGAGATGAAGTTGCTTGATTGTGATGCTTTGAGACCTGGTCTGGTTGTGAGCTTGTCTCAGGTGGCAGGATAAACAGCTGCTCAAAGTCGAAGTAGTTACTCCAATTACTCCAATACAGCTAAAATAATGAAGAAGTCTACAACCTTCTTTGAAGCAAAATTTATTGATTACACCAGAATCTTGAAGAACTCCCACTCGTTTGAAGTGACAGTTGCAACTTCATCTCAAGATCTGCTATGAAATCAATAGGCCCCGTGACACTCTTGTTAACGTCAATCACAATGAGACTGTCACTTGCACTGTGCTGGAGGAACCCACTAGCATTGTCATCTTGCAGTGGCCCAACATAATCTGACCAACGATAGCTGAAGCATTTTTCTGTGGATTGGACTCCATCTATCCATCTCATAACTACCTGATTTTCTAAGCTTTGAGATTGTTTTGGAATGAGTTTCATGGTTCCAAATTTTCTTGTTGTTTCCTATTCACTTGTATCATGTACTTATTTCCATCAAAATTTTGGTATTCATTGCTTCCTGTAACTTGAAAATGAATGTTGTTACATTCAAAACGTTGTTAATAAATTGATATTACTCCCTTGAACCTGTATTTTGATCAACTAATGTCATCTGAAGAATATTGTTCAACCCTGAAAATTTAAATTGACAAATTCTCATGCCATTAACCACCCATATATATATATGTGTATATTTTATTTATTTTTTATTGTATTTTTATTTGTATTTATTTTATTGTTTGTGTGTTTGTTGCAGATTTTCAGATTATTAAATGACTGTTAGGCATCAATTAAACCCTGTTTTGGCAAGAGTTTGGATTTAGGCAAGGAGTTGGAGTTAGGCAGGATGCTGTACTGATTAAGAGAAACTGTGAAGCCCATAACATGCCAATTGAAATGTTACTGTGGCAATTATTACTCATAATCCTGTTGTGGGGCGTATTGGACTAGTCTTCACAGGCTCCTGCAAATTTCAAACAAAAAAAAAATTGCTCAAAGGAGAGGTGCTGGACTGCTGGTGGTGCCATCACTCAACAGTAACCCATTCCTATTGGCTGATGAAAAATTGAGCCTTTTAAAAATCAAAACGACATGATGTCACAGTCCAGTGAAGGTGATGACTTTGTTGCTTCATCTGTTGCATATGTTCACAATTCATTATTACATCATCCTTGATCTAGGCTGCTACCTGCAAGGCATAGCAGCATTTTGGAGTGTTTTGGAATTTAGCAGCAGAGTGTTTTAGAATTTAGACTCTTCCTCAATTTCAATTTTGAGTGCTATAAGTAGACCAGCAAAGTATGGATATCACTCATACCAGCAGGCAGGAATTCTAAGATAGTATGTAAACTTTCTGTCCATAGTGGCAATTAGCAAACTCAAAGCAGAGACTTTTTTTAGACTCTTCATCCAGCTCATTTTCAAATCCTATAAGTAGACCGGTAAAGTATCATGTATATCAGCATTATATATCACACATAAGATATTGGCTCAAATTTAGGTAGAAAAACAAAGTAAGTATAATATGCATTTAAAAATTACTTTCTAAAGACAACACTTCTAAAGAATACAGTGTATCTGATGTTACAAATCTACAATGAATTTCTAATTTTATTCCTATGGATTAAAAAAATTAATTCTCAAATTTTTTTTAATGTATTAAAAAAATTTAAATTTTCAAAAATATTTACTGTGTCAATTGATTCATGCATTTTCTCCAACTTGCACAAGTGTGCAAAATTTCAGTTTGATTGGCCTGGTAGAAGCGTGTTGAATATCAATTACCGTATAAGATTTGTAGCAGACAGACTGACAAACAAACAAAAATATGAGTTGGAAAATTACTTTTTAAAGACAACACTTCTGAAGAATACAGTATCTCCAATGTTACACATGTACAATGGATTTCCAATTTTATTTCCAAATATTGAAGAAAATTATTTTTAATTTTTGTTTTTGGAAAACAAACTTAAAGTTTTAAAATTATTTATTCCATCAATTTATTCATGCATTCTGCCTGACGTTACAAAATTGTGCAAAATTTCAGATTGATTGGACTGGTAGAGGTGTGTTAAATATAGATTATAAAAGTTGTACCGTAAAATGGGGTAACTTAGACCGGCGGGGTAACTTAGACCACTTTTTGTTTTTTTAACAAAAACCCCCACAACTCAAAAACTATTTGACATAGAAAAATTTTGTCAATGGGCATTAAGGGCCTAATACAAAATTACATAAAGACTATGAGAGGCAGGAGCCAGCAATTTATGGTGAGTGAAGCTAGAGTATAGACCTTTATTTTGCATGTTTCAATTCAAGTTTAATTTTGCTAGTAAAAAAATGGCATCATTTATATAAGAAAAAGTGGTCTAAGTTACCCCATTTTACGGTAGCAGACAAAATTACTTTTTCAATTTTTTATATTACAAAATTTATTTTTTAATTTTAAAAATTATTTATTCTGTTAATTGATTCATGCATTGTTTCCAACTTTACACGAGCATGCAAAATTTCAGATTGATAGGAAAAGTAGAAGTGTGTTAAATTTTGATTATAAGATTTGTAGCAGACAGACAAAAAACAAACAAACAAACAAACAAACAACAAGAAGTGAAGTTAAAGAAAAGTGTTGTGAAAATGTTGAACTTTATGCCACTATTTTTAATTTTACAATATTTTGATTAGTTTAGCTGATATAACATTTCTACGAAATGTGCAACAAGTGTCCCTATTTACCCCACCCGCCCCTTATTACCCATTTGAAGGTACCTTACCAAGGTACTATTGCAATATTTGTAGATAACAGAATCATCTTGTTGACATTGAATAAAATTTCTGAACTAGATCAGGAAATGGAAAATGCGCTGGTTTTTAAAAAAAGCCCTCATTTGCCACTATGCCTTGTAAGTCTTAGTTAACTCTTCTGGACCAAGCAACTGAACCTGTTGGATTTTTGTTAATATACATACCACACAGACCCACACACACATGTATACTTATACACATGAAAACACTTTTCTAGAGTTTTCTCTAATTGAAACAATATTTTCTATTGGCTATAAAGGCCATCTGCTAAAAAGTTACCCATGATGCATTTCTTGCCAATCTTTCATGCTAGTTCAGCAGCTTCAGTATGTCTTCTGAAACTACATTGTGTAAGATTAATGACTTCAATTTTGAATTTTCATCCTTTATGAATCATTTCATTTCTGTACAGTTTATTTATATTTTCCCAATGATATTTCTTAGTGTTAGCATACTGGTAAAAAAGTCAAGTAAATTCCATTATTACTATGTATTGAGCTAGAAAATGTTGCATCAAACAGTTATATCAATGTAATTTTTTCTGATTTTTACTATTCCTTATGAATATTATTAGTATTTACCTCGAGTCATCAGATTTCAATATATAAATAATCAATATTTTGATTTTTAAATCCTTAGGAGTTTTATTATTGCATACTTAACCCTAATTACCACGGGTTGTTGTGTCACACTACAACTTTGGGTGTAAATGATATCTGCCCTTAATTCTGTTAAGAATATTTTAGGTGTCTTTTATTTTACATATGCTGCAATTGTTTTACCAGTCATTAATATGGATTGTTTCCTTTCAAATGCAGTCTTCAGATGCACAATTGTGAACTCAAACCAATTTTTAAAAATTATGAGAATGAAAGGACTGAATTTCTGGCCTCAAGCAGAGCCATTTCCATGTACAACAACTCCGACTGCTCAAACTTGTGTCTATGTTACCCATGGACTGGAGACTGTAAATCATTCACGTGTGCATGTGCCTTTGAACATGTGCATATTTATTGCTGGTGCATGTGCAGCTTCAGCACTGGTGCACCTGCATCCTCATTGCTAGTCTCTCTCAAAGTTTCTTTGTTCCTATAGTTTTTGATCTCATGGTCTGTGAGTTTGTTGCCCGCCATTGAAAGAACTTTATGAAATGAGATGCATTAGCAAAGTGGGAAGCTCACATACCTTCCACCTCCATTGCTTGCTGGACACTGATATCGTGAGTTTGACTAGGGCGTAGCTTGCTACCGGCACGCGGATCCGCTTACTTGGTAGCAAAAGTTTATACGTAGTTTGCTAAATGATTTACCTTATCATTATAGATAAAAATAGCTAAAATATCATTGATCCAACACCAAAAATAGATATCAGTTGAAGAGTATCTCCACAGAAAAGGCTGTGAGATTCATTTTTTTACGGTGGTTATTAGAAACTAAGGGCGTTTTCCTGCAAACTCTACGCAACTAGGGTTAATGCATGTCCTTCTAAAGATAATATTTATATGTATATAATATATATACATATAGATAATTAGTAATGTTCACATTCTTTGAACTTTGCAGAAGAGCCTTTTATTCAGAGAGTTCCTGAGAACTCTGGAGTTTGCTGCGAAAACCACCCTCTGTGTGAGTGTCAGTCGTCTCGGGAGGACAGAAGCAGCTTGCAGTGCTGCAGGTGGTTGCCTTTCTTTGGCCTGGCCTTCTTCCTTATCTTCACAGCTTTCAGCACATGTTCCCTTATTCTGGTGAGTACCTCATTATATTAGTCAATAGTGTCAGAAGATATTTATAAATCTTGATTTCTTTTGTTTATTGTTTATTATCAATCAATTAATTGCTTTCTCTTTGCTTTCTTATTGCTTGTTGTACTTATATATATTTTCTCATATTCATGAGAACATATTTAAGTACCAACTTTGTTCATTTTCTTCTTTTTATTTTATTTATCTGATCAGAAAAATCTACAAGATAATTATTAAAAATAATACATAACTATATTTTTCCTGATGTATTGTTATGTTAATGTTATTTTTTATTGTTCTTTATGTGAAATATTCATCACCCATGTTTCATACACAATTGAGATAATAGAAGAATATGACCTGAACGTGGTTGTGGAAAAAATGAGTGCATACAGCCAGTCAGTTTGCTCCTGCATTGCACTTGTGAGGGAAGGATCCTAGCAGTTGATCATTGGACTTGGTCTATTGGCATGCGATGTTCTTTGTGTGAGAGATTATTCTGTGTATACAGATCATAGATATTTTGAAAAATCATTGTTGAAGGTCAACAAGTCCACCTATTTTATCAACAAATGACCCAGCACAAAATATTTCATTAGATAGTATGAAAATTGTTATGTATATTAAAACTTATGTCTGGATTAAACTAGTTAAAAGACCAGAACTAGATTAAAAGTCTGGAACTTTTAGCCTTATGTCCTTATTGAGCAGGCTTTTTTTGATTACAGAGTAGGGTAGGTATTATCATTGTTACAAGTTGGTATCATGGATTGTATTAACAAAAATTTTTTTCTATGTTGTGAGGTTTACACCATATTTTAAAAATAAATCTATAAATTACTTATATTACACGATGAAAATTTGTGTCATGTTATAATTATGTTTAAATGGAAAACTTGTCTTGTAGAAATTTTATCAGAAAAGCTCGTCTTGTCCAATCTTGTCTGCTCAGATCATAGGTAGTTTACACTCTGCATGATATCCTGGCCTCTTGTGCTGTGAGAAATTAAAAGAATTTGAATTGCCTGTTCGATTTGATGTTTGAAACTTTGACCCTATATTTGATACTTTGACTCTGCGCAGTCTTAAATAACACAATTGCTATGAACTGATATAGATACAGAGAAAGAGTTAGTTATTGATCCTTGGCAATTTTAGATTTAATGTTTTATGACTTTCAGAAAGTCGAAACCTGAGCAGATGCATGGGTTAGCTGAAAGCAAAAGTTCCAACCATCTTATGCGGCCACGTAATGTTATACAAACGGTTTAAAAATACTCTTGAATATCGATAACTTGGTCATTTTTGTCAGATTGCTTGTATCTACAATATACATCTGCTAACCTCACCAATCACATTGATTGTGTTGCTTTCACACTCTCCACTTCTGATGATGCAAATATGATTGAATCAGGGTTGGCAATGATTAAATCAAAATGATTAAATCATGTGATTAAATCACTTGATTTTTTTATAAAAAAGTCATGATTTTTTTTATTTTTATGATTTATATTTTTCTTTTATTTTTTCATATATTAAAATATATTGAGTGGCAGTCTTTAATTTATATTGAGGTATTGTTATTCATGGTTTAGTATAAATGTATAAATGACAAATTGGTATATAAACTTGTTGCCTTTAGTGTGTATTAGGTTCCAATAAATTGAAAGTTTTTGGTACAGAGGCAGCAAGTGTGCAATACATTGTACGTAGCTAGCAGCTTAGCTAATTCTTATAAGGCTATAAGTAGTCTTTAACTATTTGACTATTTATTATATATTGATTACAATATACAATTTAAATGTGTTAGCTAGCTTTTACAGGGTGGGGCAGGACTGATTGAACAGTTTTGAGGCAAAATAAGAGAGTAATGGAGGTACATAAAGAAGAAAGTTTATTTTCCTCAAGATTAGCATAACATACCATTTAAAATACTTATGTTTTGAAAACAATATCAGGAAGATGGGGTTTGTTAGCTGCATCACACTGTTGGAGTTGTTCATGGAAGTTTTCTACAGCACGTTCACACATATGGCAAGGTATGGCCATAACCTCTGATGCAATAATCCATTCCCTTAACTGTGGTAGGATGTGAAGGTGACTTCTGAACACCCTTTCTTTTAGATGTCCCCAAAGAAAGAAATCGTAAATGCTCAAATCAGGTGACCTCGCAGGCCACTGTAAATCACCCCTCAGAGACACCAGACGTCTGGGAAACATGCGTTTCAAAACATTGAGTGACATTCAGGCTGTGTGAGCTGTAGCCCCATCCTGCTGGAACCACACGTCTCCCAATGCTTCATTTTCAACAATGTTTTCCATCATGGGCTGCAAGAAATTTTGCAACATGGCACCATAGCAATCAGATTTCACTGTTACAGGTACTCCCTCCTCTGAGAATGACTCCAACAGTGTGTTGCAGCTAATGGCTCCCATCTTCCAGATATTTTTTTCAAAACATAAGTATTCTAAATGGTATGTTATGCTAACCTCTAGGAAAATAAACTTTCTTCTTTATGTACCTCCATTGCTCTTTTATTTTACCTCAAAACTGCTCAATTGGTTCTGCCACACCCTGTATATTGAGAGGTTGAGTTTGTATTGACCTTTTAGGCAATTAGAAAGATTTTCCACCCTAATACGAGTATTCTTATCAAAATATTTAATTTCAATCTTTAAATATGTGAATTTAAAACTAGAAAAAACAATTACAATTATAAGACTATATATAAAATATCAAATGCAGTGAATGGATATAAAATATTTGAATTGTGCACATGCTTATTTCAAAGTGTTAGCTTTTCTCATAACTTAAGTCTCGTTTCAAGCCGTATGAGGTTTGTTTGGTTATTGTTCAGTTTATGCTTAGTATTGGTTTATTGGTCTGAATTAAAAGGGAACAGTGCAGTCAGTCACTCAGTCACTACTAGTTGGTGTGTATAGAGGGTAGAGTCTGGAAGATCTATAGGACATAAAACTAGTAGATCTATTGATAGTGTTGTGCACTGTGCTATCAGCTACCTATCTGTTATGTGACTCTTCAATGTTTAGAAGATCTGCATTCCTGAAGTGTTTTTGTATATTGAAGCCAGTTAAATGGTCAATATTTAGCTCATTACCTTGCTCCATACAAACTTTACAAAGCTAATGAATAGACTTATCAATAATTGTTTACCCAAAAATCCCAAAGTGGTAAATGCCACCTTGGCCTGTTGGCCATTATTGAAGGCAAGAATTGCCCATTTTAGCCATCCATTATGATCATATACTGTTATTGTTAGTAGGCTAATTGCAACATAAAAAAGTAACACTTCAATAAGACAAAAAAGCTGAAAAAAATCAAATAAATAAAACAAATCATGAAAAAAAAAATTAAAAAAATCATTGATTTTTATTTTTTTGTTTTTATTTAAAAATAAAAAAATCACCAACCCTGGATTGAATTAACTTCAAAGTCTGCTTGTAATCTTTGGATAAATAGAAGGAATTTTGAGGTAGCAAAGTACCCAGGACCACAGCCATGGAGTTGGAGCAATGCGGGCTGGAGGTGGTGGTGCTGGGCTTTGCCTTCATGCTGATCTTCATGTCCTTCCAGGATGCAGGCCCAGCAGCTGTCCTTTGTTTATAGACCTCAATGGGCATTGTTTCCGTCATCCATTGTGTTTAACCATTGTTGGTATGGTGTGTTGTTTCCAGGCCTCAATGGGCATTGTTTCTGTCATCCATTGTGTTTAACCATTGTTGGTATGGTGTGTTGTTTCCTGGCCTCAATGGGCATTGTTTCCATCATCCAGGGTGTTTGGCCATTGTCAGTGTGGTGTGTTGTTTCCAGGCCTCAATGCTCATTGTTTCCATCATCCAGGGTGTTTGGCCATTGTCAGTTTGGTGTGTTGTTTCCAGGCCTCAATGGGCATTGTTTCCATCATCCAGGGTGTTTGGCCATTGTCAGTTAGGTGTGCTCTTTTTTTTGCTTATTAGGATAAATTTGCATCAAGCATTGATATAAGTTCCATGAGTTTAATTATCACTGATGTCCTATCTGGAGGATCTGTCTGATCTACTAATCAATAGTAGAAAAATCTGAGGAGTTTTGGTTTGTTTATAATTATCCAAATAACTTCATTGGCCTGGGAAGGATAATAAAAAGACGTGTATCTAAGCGTAAGTATTAAAGATAGGTTCACGGGATACACTAGATAGACGTTACAGGATCAAAGCACAGTATGTGCAGTAATTTTGGAGATAGAGTATAATGACACTGCGTGTTGGCTGCAAGTGCCGGAGTCGAAGACCATGTGAGCTCGTCTAGATTTTGCTGCATGGCTGCAGCTGAAGGCTGTCTGCCGGAGACTCGACTAAGACTGACTGGCAGTCAACTCACCGAGCTTATATATGCAGTGACCTGCGAATAGTGACATCACAGAGGGTGACATAAGGGTCACTAATGACATCACGACCTGACTGATGTTATCATCATTTATGCAATGCTACATCTTGTAATAATGACTCCTTTCATCAACAAAGATCGACTTTTTCTTTTTATTTTCTGAAGAAATAGTCAATTTTCTGGCTGTTTAACATTATTTCACTGACAAACTGGTGAGAATTCAAGTAGTGTAGTACATCTTCTCTGTGTGGGACTCTTGCCATAGCCTTTGTATTTTGCCTAAAAATTAGCACCCAAAGTGACTCGAATTGGAGTCACTTTGATGTCAACTGCTGGCACTTGATGTAAACTGCTGGCACTCTATGTCAACTGCTGGCACTCTGTGTCAACTGCTGGCACTTGAGGTCAACTGCTGGCACTCGAGGTCAACTGCTGGCACTCTATGTCAACTGCTGGCACTCTACGTCAACTGCTGGCACTCAATGTCAACTGCTGGCACTCAATGTCAACTGCTGGCACTTGATGTCATTTGCTGACACTTAATGTCAACTGCTGGCACTCAATGTCAACTGCTAGCACTCGATGTCAACTGCTGGCACTCAATGCCAACTGCTGGCACTCAATGTCAACTGCTGGCATTTGATGTCATTCGCTGGCACTTGATGTCAACTGCTGGCACTCAATGTCAGCTGCTGGCACTCGATGCCAACTGCTGGTGCTTGTTGCCAACTGCTGGCACTCAATGCCAACTGCTGGCATTCAATGCCAATTTCTTACACTCAATGCCAACTGCTGGCACTCAATGTCAACTGCTGGCTCTTGATATCAACTGCTGGCATGATATTCACAACTACCAACCCTTCCAGCAAGTGGTGATTGACAGCATCCAGAAGGAGGACCCGAGTTTTACAGGCTCAGGCTATGTGTCCCTGGCTGTCGTGTATGCTGTGTTTGCAACCACCAACTGGATCGCCCCATCTTGCCTTGCCATCCTGGGGCCTAAACTCACCATGGTGGCTGGGGCACTAACTTACACGTGTGTAACTCCACAGGGGGGACTTCTGGTGTGTGTCTGTGCTCATCAGTCACGTCAGAAGTCCTGTGGGATTTTGCGCTCCTAGGGGAACTGTTTCTGAACACCCCACTGCTGAGCTCACAGGGTCTGACTGCAGATCTCAGTTGTGGGGCTAAGTTATTATGTAGGTAGGATTCCTTACATTTCCCTTCTTTGTCTCTCTCATGCAGGCGGCCAACATCCCATATAAGCGACCTCTTGTTCGAGTGTCTTAGTTTCTGTTGCTTTTGGCCTGTCCCTCCTTGTCACTTCGGCTCATTGAGATGCTAATGCTGCTTCTTTTGAGCCAGCTTCAGCGGGCTGGACAATTGAGACTTTCCGCGTGATTTCACCTTGACTGTCAGTGCAATATAGCTAAATAGCTAAAGTGCTAGTACACATTTGGCTAGTAAACTAACTAACAAACTTACATGTGTATACTTATTCTATAAGAGTGTACTCTCCATATTTGTTTGTATATAGGTGTGTGCTTAGTGCTTGCCTTCTAGATTTTACAAGTATCTGTCATCAGTTGTGTTCTATCACATTCTGTAGTATCACACTCTAGGTCACACAATATTCATCTCCCAAAAACTTAGGTATTCTTATGCATATCCAAGCAGGTAGTTGACTTGCCAGCCACATTAACATGTGGTAATTACCTGCCCTACTTTTGTATTGACCCCAGGCTTGAGTGATAATAGTTCTCCGTAGCCAGGGCATGTTCTCTCATTGACCTGCCATGAGGCAAGTGTGGCTTTCAGATGCGTCTTGCATTAACAAGTTTCATTATGAATGAAACTCGAGCTCCTGTAATTCACTAGTATTCAGATAAATGATTTACTAGGTCAAATTTATGCTGCTTCAAGGCCTAAGAACCCAGACCTCGGATTTGATTGAAATAAAACGTAATGGGAGAATAAAAATAGTAATCTAAAATAATGAATTAAATATATTTAAAATAGAGGAAAATCAAATTTCCGAAACTCTCGAATGGCTTCAGGAGTTAGTTTCACTTGACTATAATGAGTAAGATCAGGATACAACTTCTAAACGTCCATACTTGATTATAGCTCAAGTGAGAGGTGATAACCTACCTTGGGGACATTGATAAGGGTACAAATGGAGCACCAGCGCACAAGACTTATAGATTAATAACTTGACTGTTAGCCACAATTATTAGGAACTTGTTTCCGTGACTTTCCTACTAAACTCTGAACGCCTCCTGAGCCATCAAATAATTACTATGCCAACCTCCAGTAGGAATGCTACTAACCACCTGGCAACCACAAGCACTGCTGCCAGGTCTGTCCAGTCTACCCACTTAGACTCTCTTCCTTGCCTTCTCCTGCTGTGCACCTCTGTAAGAACGTGCTTGGAATCAGAGCAGATATGTGCTAAATCAGTGCAACATGTAGTGCAAATATCAGAGGGCAGATCTCACATCATCAGTACAATGCATAGTGAGAATGTCAGAGGAGATATGTGCTACATCAGTACAGCGCCCAGTGCAAATATCAGAGCCTATATGTGCTACATCAGTACACACCTAGTGCAAATGTCAAAGCAGATGTTTGCTACATCAGTACAACAGGTAGTGTGAATAATGTATAGTTTTAATTCTGCAATATATGGCTGCGCATACCTTTGATTATCAGCTTTGTTTTGATTCAGGTTGTATAAATTATAATTATTATATATTTTTGAACAGTTGCTTCTATGATAATGAAATTATGGGATCTAGCTTAAATTCACGTTTGATGAGATGTAACAGATACTTGGAGAATTGTTACTTGAGTAACAATTGAGTAACAATACTTGAAGTATTGTTACTCAAATTCGTTACAGATATTAATGACATGAATATATTTGTATGTTATTCTGATACAAAACGATTGTTCAACATTGTAGCTATATGAGAATATGTGTAATAGTATTTTTTTTACGTTATGCAGTTTGTTCATCGCATCGTTCCTGTGGCTGCACACGTGGCTGCTGTACCTGGTGTCGGTGGTCATGGGTCTCGGAGCTGCTCTCATCTGGACCGGCCAGGGCAACTACCTCACCCTCATGTCCGACGACATGACGATTACCAGGAACTCTGGCATTTTCTGGGCCATGTTGCAGTGCAGGCAAGTGATGTCAGTGATGTGTTGCAGTGCAGGCGAGTGATGTGTTGCAGTGCAAGCAAGTGATGTGCTGCAATGCAGGTGAGTAATGTGTTGCAGTGCTGGCGAGTGATGTACTGCAGTGCAGGTGAGTGTCATGCCGCAGTTCCCCAGATGTTCAATGTTGCACTTCAGTAATGAAATTTATTGGATCCAGCATTTTCTACGACCGCATGCCAATCTGCAGTCGCGTGGATGCCGCAGCAGTACGACGGCAAGCCGTGATAACAGTCCAAAAATCTGCATTGTTACACTCTCCTAGAAATTATGATCATGTCTGGACATCCCTGGCTAACGCTTTTGCTCTGATCATCTTTATTGCAAAAAAATCATCTAAATTCATCTGATCATCTCTGATCATAACAACGTCATGTTGGTAATTCCCAGTGACGTCTATGTGACGAAGTTGTAAATATGAGGTTTGTCTGCAGCAGCTTTAGCCGCGTGCCGTATGCTGGTTGCTCCCAGTTTTTCCTTGCCGCTGGCGTTCATGTGTTGCGGTTGCACTGGCCAGTTCTGTTTGCCGGCAAGCTCTAGAGTGCCTAAAGTTTGGGGCTGTGAAATATTGATTCCTGGGCTGTATAAGGCAAGTGCATGACGGTACTGCGACACTCATCTGGTGATAAAGCGGCATGACAGCAAAAAATGGTGGGGTTCCAATCACTGCTGCAATGCATGAGTGTTCAGTGCTGCAGTGCGTGCTTTGTAGATGGCTAAAAATTCCTGCAATACTCACTATCTAGATTATTTCCCAGCGTAAGTAAGCTCACTGTGCATTCTTTAAAAGTTGTGTGGTGGTTTCTTCTTCTTGTGTGTTTTGGATGAACAATTTTACCCTTCAAGTGAATTTGGTTCACAACTCCAGCACCATCATTGACAATTGCTGTCACATCAATGGAATCAGTAATGCGACTGCATTACATATTTGTGGCTGACTTTTCTAGTAAAATTTTGAAAAGGCATTATTATTAGAATGCCTCACAATTGTATACTTATCAATGTATAAGAAGTTACTACTTGTGTAGAAACCTTCTACTTTTGTGCGTAGCCCAACAAAAAATGTATCCTGCAGCATGGTGTTCTAACCAAAACTGTGTCATGCAGCATGGTGTTCTTACCAAAACAAGGAAACTCGTCAATTATGAAAACCCAATTCTACCAAAGATTAAGACTGCTTAAGAGATCATGGTATGGGACAGGTCCCATAAATAAATGCATTAGATTGAAGATCTAAAGGTCAATATGAAAAACTATGCTGAAAAGAATCCTTTGTGGTAAAACACCAATAAGCATAAATATTTGGGATGGACACCCTATTAATGAACAGTAATAAACTGGAATTAAGTAATGAAGTGAACGTGGAGGTTAAGTTAACAATGTTACACCAGCACAAGTATCAAATAATTGTTGGTATCTTCAGTCCAGGGAAACATAGATCATGGAAAGGAGTTACTTGCCATTCACGAATTGCCAGATGTAGTAGATTACTAGAAATTCCGGATAGTTACCCACATAACAACCCCAACAATCACGCACAAGCACTCACCCCAGGCATGCACTCCCCCCTCTGGTACTCACCAACCTGGTTGTGCTGTGCTGGAAACTGGGCAGATAAATGACTAAAGATCCTATTGGAGGCTAGAACTGGCTGGGTGCCCATGTGTCTTGCTAGCAAGGATCTCCGTAGTTCTAAGAAATGCAAAGGGATAATTAACTACACATGTCAAAAAAGCTAACGTATATAAATTGGGAAATGCAACTAGTCCCTGCAGCAATATTCTAATTCCTAGATCTCACATGGCAACTGCCTCTGTCTGAATCTACATTTAAGATCAGAATATTCACCTATCAACTCAAACAAAAAGTGAGACAATGAATTAACAAGTTGTCCCCCTCAAATTGAAAACTGGCCGCTTAATGAAACTCTTATTACCTTATCGGTCATGGAACTAGTCCTGCCTCCAAGTTATAAGTGGGACATCAGGTTCAGCTCTGATCAATGGTCCAAGCCCTTGGCAGGTAAATTGTAGTTATTCAGGCACTAAGACTGGACTACAGGTAAAGTCAGTTATTTCAATGGTTACATGGGCACGGAAAATGTTAAGCTTTAATGTACCATCTTCAGGAGGTCTGGGGTTGGAGGTGATGAAGCCCAGAGCAGGAAACTGAAGAACCAATGAGTACGGGTCCCATGAGTCTTCAGATCACCATTGCTTGTCAGCCTGGCCCCACACCAACTGCTCCTATCAAGTTAACAAAATAATGGGACTAGAGTCTATGGTCTTTGATGGCAGTTAAAGAGGATTTGGACCTCAAATCGGTCCAAATCTCTTGCCCAGGACCGGTTTGAATTTAATTTTCTTAGACAAACAAACATTCACAATTGTGAATGTTCAAACATTCACAATTGTGTTTTATTTCATAGTTCTAACCACTCAAAGTTGTAATGCTAAATATTGATGACCCTGTAGATTCAAAGCTGGGTAAGGTGAACTCATTTTCATTATCTGTAAGCAGTCTTTTAGGGAGTACAAGAAAATCTGCAAGAACTTGGTGCTCCCACACATAGGCAAGATGGTCAGCCCTTTTATTCCGAATGACAACAACTATATCCACTTGGATCCATGATCAACACAAACCAGGCAGCCAATGTGGGCAGAGCTTGTGGGCAGCAACTGGATAAAATCAGCTGCCACCAACTCAAATGGCTTCGTGGACACTATTTTAAACATGGGTGGGTTCACAAGCTGTGAACCAATCTTGAACTTCTGGCACATCTCACAGGAACTACAGACATCCTGAGTAACCTTTGTCAATAAGGGATGCCACAACATTGACTGGAGCATCTTTAGCAACTTATTTCGCCCACGATGCGCACGTTTATAGTGCATTCCAAGGCATATTTCAACCAAAAAGTTGTTAGAGAAGTTGTTGCTCAACCGGAAGTTGTTGGAGCAGCAGCATTCCTCAAAGCAGCAGCATTCCTCAAACGATTGAATCAAACACATCTAGTTTAGGAACAGAGCAATGGTCTAGCCTATTCAAGGCATGAACTAGATCAGTTGTAGACACAATTTTGTCCTTTGATTGTTGTTTGTTGTAGCATGAATTGTGTTTATGACGATAGTTACCCCCCTTTCTCTCTTGAAGGACCTCATGCACTTTTCTGAAACAATCTTTGTTTCCTATGGTGGGCCTTTTCTTGCTGACGCCAAGCAGATAAGTTCTCACTGGCGCTCTCAGAGGATGAACGACTTGCGAATTGCTGGCCACAAACACCCAACACTGACTCTTCACTCCCTTCACTGACAGAAGATGAATTGTGTCCTGGAGCAGCCATGTTGTTGTGTTGTTGTTGCAATTGCCCATCCTGGCATTGGCGACTAGGGAGGGGGGATGATAGGTCAGTTTTTCCAGGCACTCGGTGCCACTGATAGTTCCACGACCATCACTGGCTCGCTGACCCGCCAGAACCATTTTATTGCATTACACAACACCCTGGACAAGCCAGGTACTCATTTATCAACCAGAGTTGGATGAATGGATGAGTTGACCATGAGCTGAGTTTCCCGGTAGAACTTGTCCTCAGTGGGACTCGAACCCGGGCTCTGGGTGCGAGAGACTGAGTCTCTCACCACTGCACCACCACAGCAGCCATGGAAAATTGCAGGCGAGCAGCTCTCCTGTAATTGAGGCTGAGCAGCTCTCCTGGAGTCAAGTTGGAGGAGCTGCTTCCACTTCTTATCTGGGAACTTAGTTGGCACTTCTTGGGTCTTGTGTGAAGAGTCACTCCCACCCCAGAGTATGAAACTTCTCTAAGAGGCTGATTGAAAGTGAATCTCCTTCTTGGTTTAGCACCACCAAGTTCGTTCTGTCCCTGTGTCAGGGTCAATTTTGAGAAATTGAAGGGTCTTTTGCAAATCAGTGATACATTTTCTAGCAGTTGGTGACAGTTGATTGGCATTCATCTTGAAATTGGTCATCACAGTGGCAATATAACTGTAGGTCTCATGGATAGCAGCATCAGAATCAAGAGCATCATTGCTTGACATTGATCTTGAAATTGGTTATCACAGTGGCAATATAACTGTAGGTCTCATGGATAGCAGCATCTGAATCAAGAGCATCATCTGCTGCTAAACTGGAATGTTTCCTAAAATGATCTGTTTCCTTCAGGTCTTGAGGTGAATCTGTTTTTTTCAGCCATTGCAAATCAATATGAAGAAAAGAACTCTTGGTAATTCTTTTGTTTTGTATCAACAGCAAAACACACACAGGTTTGTCTCAGTCCTACCACATATCTCCTAACTACCTAACACACCCCAAATTTCTCATGCATGTTGGGGAATGTGAATCATTCCCCAACAGGGGAATGTGTGTTGGGGAATCACTAAATTTAGGCAAGAAAATGTGACCAGAGGGAAATAAAAAGTTGCCAAAAATATCTTAAGTACCTAGGCTTAGCAATAAGAAAACAAGTCTAGTTCAATTCGTTGATCATGACTCTAGAGGTAAATGGGCTCTTGGGTCTGGGCACCAAATTATGTAGCAGTCCTGTCAACAGGGATTCACAAAAGCTATGTGAAGATTAGCTCAACCACCCTAAGATGCAATACCTAGCTAAAACTACCCTCCAACCCTGAGGACAAATTTGGGGCAATGAAACACAGGCTCAATGAAGCAACTCTATACTTAAGCTAAAAACAAATCCAAGGGCCGTTGGTACAGAATCATCCCTAGGGCACCAAATATATCCTTCACAGGAGAAGCCAGGCAACCCTCCAGGGGAAAATCCCTGAGAGGTGACCGCAGTATTCAATTCAAGAGCCCAGTTGTACATTATGGTACAACTGTGTTGTAACCAATAATTTTGAAAATAACATATTAACCCTGTGACGTAGGGGAATTGAATTTACAGTAAGATAAGCAATAGCCTAGGAGTCTTGGTTGGCACGGAGATAAATAAAGGTCCTGGAAAGGGGAGAACAGTAAGAAATTAATGTATTTTTTCATCAGCAGTGTGGCACAGTAAGGGCACACCTTACCTGGTCCACGGATCTCCCTGATGTATAGTACTAAGGCAGTGTAGTTGCATCACTTTCATAGACACAACGGGCACACCCAAGCACTTCTCTTCACAACAACACACCAAAAACTCACTTGTCTCGTTGCAAGGTTCTACAAAAGGTTACTGACCACAGGTGATATTGAGTAGCAGAAACTAGGAACCTTAAGGGAGGCAAGGATTGTCAGGACAATCACTACGTCTTCAAGTGAGTTAAAGAAACCTAGACATTAGCAACAGGACAGGAAACAAGGATTACATTGGCTAAATAATAATAATGAGTAAGGCTCTTATTAAACTTTTGCAGGACTATTCTGTCAATGAATTTTGCTAACTAACTGCAAGCAGGTCGCTGGCTAAACAAGAAAGTATTGGAACAGAGCGTTGAGAGAATGCAATCACATACTAGTGAAACACAGAAAACGAGCAACAACATCAGTGACTCTTCCTAGGTCAACAATACTGGAATTGAAGGTGACAGGTACTAATAATGGGACCTATATGAATGACTGATCTACTATCTACCAATGATGAAATCAATGCTATCAAGTCACCGGTAGGTCGGACAACTGGTCAACTACTCCTCTGGTGGTCAGAAGGTCAAAGCCCCTTTGTACTTAAAGGGGTTGACATCAGGCAGGTATTCTTAGTGACTTGCAAATATTGGGTTAAAACCGGTGTATCCAAATGAAGTGGCTACAGACTTGCATATGAACTGGACTGATATGCAGCCAGCTCAGTTAGTTAAGTAATGATAACAAGCCTAGGTTGACATTTAAACAACGAGCCTCAGCAAGGTGATCTTCAAGGAGCTGCAGTTTGAAAGATGAGGCTCTGGGCAGGAAGGTCATAACTTGGCAAGTCTAGGTTCCAGGCCTCCACAACAGCATGCCAGCTGGGTCCCACACCGACTGCTCCTATCAGTCAACAATTACGGAACTTGAGTCTACTGCCTTTCGTGACAATTAAGGTTGACTCATACATCGAACCAAAGGTTTCATGGCTGGAACTAATTTGAGTAACATGGAGTGAAGCTTTAGCAAAACTAGAAAACTTCACAGTACAGTACAATAAAGAAAAACACAAAACTTAACATTAGGGTTGACAGCTTTAATGCACAACTTGCAATGGAAACACTCAAAAGTTATAAAGCACTCAAAGTAATTACAATGAAGACAGATAACAAGGTATTATAAGCGAGATTTATTGCAGTAAATTAAGTGCATGAGATTGAAAAGGACAGGTATACTAATACTTGAGTTGATTGATTCTTAGCAACTCACCCTTAAGGAGCAGCTACATTGCCCAGCAAGCAGGAATGGGTTAACAATCACTTCCAGATTAAATGAGCTTCTGGCAATGGGTGCAGTTGTTGCAAGCAATAAAGTGCTGACTAGGATCACTCTAAGCATGACAAATGATGTGCTTACTGAACTTCAGTGAAACTTTTAATGGCGCATGCTACACTTCAAACATGATATGGCAGAAGCAATCAAACTTTCCAGACACTGCATTAAGTTGCTTGCTCTGACTAGTAATTAATTGATGGAGAACAATAACATATCTGAAACGAAACCAAGGGAAGGAAACATTCATTAATAATAATGAACACAAAGAGCCCTTAATTAGACGGAAAGAGCGAACCATATTAGGAAGCATAACGTAAAGTAATCAATACACCAAAGTGCCAGGAATGAAAGGTTAAAAATTAATTAATCTATGTTTAAAGCAAGAGGAACAATATGCTCCTCTTCAACGCAGCAAGGTGTTCTAACCAAAAATGTATCACGCAGCATGGTGTTCTAACCAAAACTGTGTCACGCAGCAAGGTGTTCTAACAAAAACTGTGTCAGGCAGCATGGTATTCTAACCAAAACAGTGCCATGCAGCATGGTGTTCTAACCAAAACTGTTTCATGCAGCATGGTGTTCTAACCAAAACTGTGTCACGCACCATGTTGTTCTAACCAAAAGTGTGTCATGCAGCATGGTGTTCTAACCAAAACTGTGTCACGCAGCATGATGTTCTAACCAAAACTGTCACGCAGCATAGTGTTCTAACCAAAACTGTATCACGCAGCAAGGTGTTCGGCAACATCTTCGTGTTCGTGAAGTTCCGAGGCCAGGAAGTTATAAACGCAGACACCCGCTTCGTGGTCTTCATTTCCCTGACGGCCGTGTCTGTGGCAGGGACGCTCGTGCTGCTCCTCCTGCCCAAGCAGAGATCACAATCAGGCAGATCTGATGTCACAGGTTCCCCTGCTGAAGAGCTTATGAAAAGCTTTAAGCTTTTTGTTACCATAGACATGCTCCGGTTGTCCGTCACGTTCTTCTACACGGGTTTGTCCTATTTTATATTATACGAGCTAATCTCGAATTTTGTCTCTGACATGCAATTTCTCAAGATATCTGTAGCGGACCAGCACTGTGTAAGACTAATAATGAATATTTATGCTCTACTAATATTGTAAACATTCATATGCAAATACAACATACAACATCGCAATTACAACATTGTAGGTACTAATAGTAATGATACTGTGCAGGCCTGGAGCTGAGTTTCTTCAGCGGGGTGTACAGCGCTTGTCTGAGTTTCACGCAACGTTTCCCTGACCCCAAGATGTTGGTCGGACTATCCGGCATCTCAATTGGAGTTGGAGAAATCCTTGGTATGAGCTTATTTATTGACGCTCCTGGGCTATCCAAACTGTCTTTCTGCCTTCATTATTGCTTGTTTTTTCTTTCCTTCTTTCCTAATTTGTAACTGGCTGGTTTTAACCAATTCGATGCGGGACTGATAGATTCCACTTCCAATTATGGTACATGTAGACACTTCGCCAGAGGATTGATTGCACCCATCCCATCACGGCTGACTGCACAAACTTCATTAAAATATCATATCGACTCATTATCTTGAAGATTATAACTGTTGCTTGTGCCATAAAAAGTCCGATTCTCTACAATCTACTTCATTTCCTCAGCCGGTGCTACGTTCGGGATCTTCGGTAGCAAGACAATCAAGTTCGGGCGGGACCCAATTGTGTTGCTGGGTTTCCTGATCCACATGGCCTGCTTCTACCTCATCTTCCTGAACCTCCCCAAGGACTCCCCCCTCGGCGACACTTATGGACCTTCCAAATTTTCTGACGGCCAGCCCATGTGAGGCAACTTGCAAGGCTCTTATTACGACGTACTCCAAATTTTCAATTGATTCCCAAAATTGTTTTACCAGTATTGGACTGTAGCGTTTATGTATTAGCGTTAATTTCAATTGACCTCTACGTTGCTTGTGGCAGAGTTTGGATTGCGCTGCTATGCAGCTTCTTGCTGGGTTTCGGCGACGCATGTTTCAACACGCAGGTCTACTCGCTGCTGGGCTCCGAGTACTCCGACAACTCTGGCCCTGCCTTTGCTGTATTCAAATTCGTGCAGAGCTTCAGTGCAGCCTGCTGCTTCTTCTATTCCACATACATCAGCCTGCACTGGCATCTAGGTACTAAATGAGTTGTATCATTGCAGTAATAATGGGGACGTAGTTAATAGAGAATCGTATTTTCGTTTTCAACACTTATATTAAAACGAGACTGTTGACAAGCATATCGTACGGCTGTACGTTGAGGGTCGACTTCTGACACGGATGTGGTTTGGTGGGCAAGAAGAAACGACGCTTTTCTTTTGGTAGTTTTTACTTGCTATCGTTGGTAACAATGGTGATGTAAATGACTTGGTCACTTGTGACTTTGTGACGTAAGCTGGAAATAATATTTAATATTGGTTAATAGGTCGAGAAAGACATACATGAAACTTACACTAGGCAGGGGCTGGACTCTCATTGTTTAGACTTGATTAATGAAAGTTGTAGATGAGCGTTATTAATTGACTATTCGATAACAAGAGTACAACTGGCATGGCAGGAATTGTTTATGTCGGAATGGTCGCAATATTTCATTTGTTACTTACACGAGGTAATTTTGGCAGGCAAGAAGGAGAGACTATTTCTGGCGTTTCCTTGCTTATGCTTGCATTTACCAACGCTGAGTTGAGCTTTTATTACGATTATGGTGCAACACTTGGTTGGGCTTCGATTAAGATTATGGCACTGAAATGAACCTAAAAGTCTTGTAGGTCTCGAACAAAGGTTGGCTAGAATGTAGCTTTATTCAACTAAATTATGCCTGGAAAGAGAAGACGTGCAAACAGCAACACCAGCATGTTCCTAACATTGAACACTGACATTTATAGGCAAATTTCACATCATTCACCCCACCTTTCCAAAGTAACGTACTGAGAGACTACCTAACTGGGCTACAGAAAGAATCGTTAATGAACAACCAACAAGCTACAGAAGCAACATTTAATGTACCTAATGCAATTAGTACAAAAAAGTACTAGGTAAAATTCAATGAACAATGTCCTAATTAATAGAATAACTGCTTCGAAAGGAGATAACGATATAACTTCGATCTAGTTTTAACATATTAATATGTTAGCCTATCCAGGGACTTCGAAACTAGATGATCTGCGTAAAGCAGGTTCGCTTGGTGGGCTCGGTCGCAAATGTACAGCAGGTTCGCTGGTGGGACCTGGTGGCGTACGTGAAGTAATTTCACTGGTGATGCTGGTCACTGAACTGTTCTCGATGTTAATGGGCTGCAAGCTAGGTACGTCGTCTTCGTTGGTCATGAGAAGCTTATTTTCAGGCTCAACGTCACCGTCAAAACTTCGCCCGACGCTATGGGAGCAAGATGCTTCGTAGAAACTGTGATCTAACGCCCGTTGGGGAAGCGGATATGGGCATATTGAGTATTGGCCTCAAGTAATTCCACTTCATTCACCAGCGGTTTGTTCTTACTAGGGCGAACTTGTCTCTTGAGAAGCACCTTGCCAGGTTCCATTAGCCACGACGGGAGTGTAGAGCCAGTCGTCGATTTTCTGATGTAGTTGAGTTGGTCGCTGTGGATAGCAAAGATCGCAAAGCATCTGGTAGAATTATTTCCCGTTGTGACGTTCACACTGAGCGTTTCCCGTGGGATCATAAGGCGTCGTTCTGCTTTGAGCGATACCTTTTTCGATAAGGAATTTCTTAAAAGTTTCCGACATAAAGGCACTTCCACGATTTGTATGTAGGCTGGCATACCAAATATAGCGAGCAGAGTACACAGACATTTTATAGTCGTATTTGCGCTGGTATCGGCGCAAGGGAAAGCAAAGGGAAACCTTGAAAACTCGTCGGTAACGGTAAACATGTAAGAGTATTTATATGAAGACGGCAAAGGACCATTGAAATCTATGTTCAAGCGCTCGAATGGTTGCGTAGCCTTGAATAAATTCGCAGGTGGTGGCTTGTTACTTGTAGAAGCGAGGTTTGTGTTCCGCGCTAATAGAACACGAAGCAACGACTTTCTTGACGTCGTCTACGGAATATGGTAAGTTACGAGAACGGACGAAGTGTGCAAGTCTCGCAACGCCTGGATGGCAGAGCGTATCGTGAAGTTTTTTCAGGTCTGCAGGAAAGCTTTACACCGCACCGCACACCACCGCTGAGTTTCATGTAAGCATGTCGGCCACTAAGTTGCCTTCCCTGGCCTGTGGATAATATCAAAGTTAAAGGATGACAATTCGATTCTCCATCTCATAATTTTTCCATTTTTAACTTTTCCTAGCTTCGTGCAGTCAAACATGAATGGCACGGATTTTTGATCAGTAACAATTTTAAAATGAGTGCCTAGTAAGAAATGCTTCCATTTCCTGAGAGCTTCAACAATCGCACTCGCTTCTTTCTCGACTTTTGACCAGTTTCGTTCCGATTTGGACAAGGTTCTAGAAAAAAGGCAACAGGCCTTCCAGCCTGGTTTAAGGTAGCAGCTATAGCGCACTCCGATGCATCAGTTTCAACGACCAGCGGGATGTTAGGATCGATAATATTCAAAACAGATAGTTCTATTGCTTTCTTGATCGAATGGAGCGCGTTCATGGCATGATAAGGCAGGGGAAACTCAGTGGCCGAAACTAGTGGGCGAATGAGATCGGAGAATTTTGATATCCACTGCGAATAATAAGAGAACATTCCTAAGGTGCGTTTGAGCGCAGCTGCATTGCACGGTGGCTCCAGCTCTTTAAGTGGACGTAGCCTCTCTGGATCCGGACGAATTTGTCTTTTCCTGAGGTTGTAATCCCGAAAGTTGATGCAGGACACTGAGATGATGCTTTTATCTTCATTAAAAGTTAATTTGTACTTCTTTGCAGCTTCGAGGAATTTGAAAAAATTTCTATCGTGAGATTGCTGATCGGGACCACAAATGGTTATGTTTTCGACATATGCGAAGGTGTCCCGTAAGTTTTCTTTCGCGATGATATTATCAATTGTAAGCTGAAAACAAGCTACCCAGTTGGTTACCCCGATAGTTACTCGGCAGAATTGGTACAAGCGCCCGTTAGCTTCAAAGCTGTGAAAAAAATTTTTTTCTTGAAAGGGAATCTGATGATATGCTGACTTTAAATCAAGCGCACTATAGATGGAGCATTGGCCAATATTTCTTGCCATAGTTGAAATGTTAGGAAGCGGATAAGCATCAAGGAGTGTAAACCTGTTGAAAGTTCTTGAATAATCAATACCATTATTTTCTTTTGGTTCATTCCACCAGTGATCAGCACTTGCGCCCTCCAGGGTGACCGACTCTCCTCAATTATGCCAGCCTTCAGCAGCTTCGCGGTTTCTGGTTTGATGAAGGCGCGGTCTTAAGCTGAATAAGATCTTGAATGGTCGGCAACTGGTTTGCAATTTTCACTAAGATTGGCGAAAAGATACGGGGCATCAACATCAGAAGAAGCAAAATTACATATTTTAAGGGGAGATTTGGGTCTGCTTAATTTCATTTCCAGGTAGGAATGTTGACAGAGTACGTTATAACCCAGAATAACGTCAGCGCAGAGATTCCTCGATACCCCTAACTTAATTTTTTTAACCTCATGATCGCCGTATTGGATATGCGTTTCGCAGAATCCGAACGTTGGCGCAGAAAATTCGGTAGAAGCCATAGATATTTTTGATGAGCCATGATATATCGGCAACTTGAGTAAGTGGACGAAGTTCATGTCAATGAAACTTTCTGAGCACCCAGAATATATAAAAAATCTACTAGTGAAGGTTCCATTGATCTTTACGGTGATAGCGGCCATTTCAGAGCATCTACAGTAGCGTCACTTGTTGCTACAATAGTAGCTAGGTGCATGGCAGCTGAATGGGCAGGTTTAGCTGAAGGCACACTTGACTTTGAAGATTTGCACACTTTTGACCAATGGCCCATTTTGAACATTCATTACAGGTGGACTCTCTTGTGGAGCACTTTGCGCGCGGATGCCGCATCAACCCACAAAAATAACATTTAGAATTCACAGCAGCAGATATTTACGCCGAGTCTCTCTCATTTTCCTGGCCGGTGGAAGTTTCTGAGGATTCGGGACATAATTCTGAAACATTTTTCGACTTATTTGTTGCAGCTGCCACGCTGTGCCCAGTCAGCAACGAGTTGTAAGAGTCAGCTTGCTTTTGGGCCATCTTCAGTGGTCTGGCCTGGTCATCGCTGACTTCAAATCAAGGGCTCGAACTTCCAGCAAGCGCTGTCGGATATAATTAGAATGAAGTCCATTAATGAACGAGTCCCGTATGCTCTCCTCCCTGTATTGGTTGGCACTGACGTCAGTAAAATTGCAGTCTTTTGCAAGTATCTTAAGAGCTTGCAAATACTGGTCGAGAGTTTCACCTGTTTCTTGTTTTCTGGTTTGAAGTAAATGTCTTGCAAATATTTCACTCTTGGGTTCCACATAAATGTCTTTCAAGGTTTTGACGGCAATTTTAAACGATGGAACTTCTGAAATAAACTCGTATACATTAGGTGCTGTGTAGTTGGTAAGGACTGCAAGTTTGTTTAGATTTTCCGTTGGGAGAGTCGCCAAGAAGTTAGTGAATGTTTTAAACCAATGAGTCCATTGTTCAGCAGCTGTGGCTTCATCGGGTTACGTGTCGAACTTTGACGGCCGCAGAACTCGATCCATCTTGAACAACTTGGAATTACACACTGGATTCAAAATGCATTTGTGATAGCTCTGGCAATTAAATTTAGTTGAATAAATCGAAATGAAGCTAAAAGTCTTGTAGGTCTCGAACGAAGGTTGGCCAGAATGTAGCTTTATTCAACTAAATTACGCCTGTAAAGAGAAGACATGCAAACATCAACATCAGCATGTTCCTAACACTAAACACTGAAATTTATAGGCAAATTTCACATCAGGTACCAACGCTTATTTGGGCATTGGTTACGATTATAGGGCCAACGTCTGCAGTTGGACTTCAAATTACGATACGTGCAGTTGGACTTCAAATTACGATGCAGTTGGACTTCAAATTACGATGCAGTTGGACTTCAAACCCAAATAAATCCTTCAGAGATTAGGTTTAGATGACAATATCTTGAAGTTACCTCAAACGCTTCAAACTAAAAGAAACTCAAAGATAGCAAGTCGGCAGGAAGGCTTGATGAGGCGGTACGCGGAGAACAAAGCAGTCTCTCTAACAATGTTTCTCTAAGATTGAGTCGAACAAATCGGAACGGCGTCCCTGCCTCATGGATACGTAACATTCAAATAGTCACAAAAGTGAGGCAAATGGCCTAAAAAATATCAAATCATTACGTCTAGTTTACGTAACAAGTTATTTCCTTCCAAGCTAATTTCTTCTAGACGAAGTCATCCTAAAAAATAACTATGAACTATGATATTGTAGGCTATGAGCAGGTGTTATAGCATTGGCTGCCAATGATGTCTAGGCGCGGCTTGCTCACAGTAACAACTCAAATCTTCACTCAATAACATGAACTTGGTATTACAAATTCTGGAATCATACACAGTAACACACGATAGAGGAAAACATAGATACAGTAGGCTTAATTAACTCTTTCGAACGAATTCGGCCAAAGCTACTCATTCACTTCATTATCGTGTCAAACTTGGGAGCACGACCAAAACGTTAGAAATTAAAATGGTTCCGTAATCGTCCGTGTGTTTAAAAACTGAACGCCTCTTTCAATGAACGTGTACACGAATCTGCCATGTGTTTCCGACTACGTCTCCACTGCTACTGAAATGGTGCTCATCTACTGAAATGGCTCATCGACATCGATGAGTAGATATCCTCACTCTTTAACCCCAAGGTTATCACCTATCGTGACATGCCGATAGGTGATAACCGGACTTTTTAATAAATTTATTCCTCTTTATATTAGTAATTGCATAACCATTCATTACGTTCCTGCTAAACAAGTATGATAGGGCATATCCAGTAGTCAGAAGGCCTCTTATGAGATGGCAAGGCGGGTGATCAAACAAGAATATTTGCCGCACTAATTTATTAGTTTTTCGTTTGTTTGTTAGATGTTCCTCACTTCGTAGGCATTCTGGTGGTGTTCTGCGTGGTGGGCACCCTGGCCTTCTGCGTCGTGGAGTGGAGCGCCTACCGCAAAGCTGTCGTCAAATCCGCAGCTCCTGAGGGCCATGACGACGAAGGGGATGTCGACCAGAGGCCGTCATGATATTAATGTCATCATATTTTCACTTCCTATCGTCTTAGTGTCATGTTAGTGATGTTTACTATGACTTGAGTGGTGTCGACGTGTTTTTTTATTGTTAACCCCTACAAAACATGGTTGAACAACGGAATGTTCGAAGAACTAAACATGTCGACGGTTAGCAAGTAGAAGAACCCTAATTACCCTACATAGTCTTATCAAATATCTATTATGAGTTTTAAATACTCTTGTATAATGTATGTCTAGTTTGCACTAAAGTTTTAGCGCCGTCAGCAACAAAAGCAACGATGTCCACTTCCTAGCGGGATGGCGCTGCTCATTTGTTTAGTCAATAAACTTCTTCTCGTATGAGCGAGGTGATGTCATTCAGACCATCATTGTTACATTTATTGGCGTTACTTTCCCTGCCGCTACTTTACTGCGTCCGCAGTCCGCACACCAGTTATTAAAGCGGGAGCGCAGCCGTGGACCAAAAAATTAACTCATAAACAAGCCCTAGCGCCAACGCCTATCTCATAATGCAATAACTATACTCAGTCTCACACCCAAGAAGCTGTAGGTTATTGAGTCATCTCGCCACACCAACTTTAACTCACAGCTGCCCCAATCCACAGCTTTCTGCATCAAATAGTTATAATTGTCAACAGGTCCCACATGCACGACATACCCGAACCACCTCCAAACATTCACATTGCCTCCTACGCAGACGACGTCACAATAACATCCACTCACCCATCCACAGACATATGTACTCAACAAGCGCAAACATATCTCAACACTTTATCACAATGGCTCACACTGAACTGACTCAAGGTTGCTCTTAGTAAATCCACAAACACATTAATGACCAGCCACACAAAGGAGCACCAATACAGATCAAACATCACATTAAACAACACCCCTATTCCGCACACACTAAACAAAAATATTAGGGGTCACTTACAACACCTCCATGACATTCGGCCCTCACATCAACAACATAGTGAACAACGCAAACATTAGACTCAACTCACTTCGGGCCCTTGGCGGTACCAAATTTGGCAAAAACAAAGAAACACTAGCACCAAAATACAAACAGTCCATCAGAACAGTGCTGGCTTATGCCAGCTCCGCCTGGGCGCCCGCACTATCCAACACAAACATACAGAAACTCCAAACACTACAAAACAAAGCACTCGAGATAGTCACAGGCTGCACACAAAGCACCCCCATAGAACACCATGTGTCAGGTTGTGATGTCATTACTGACTATTACGTCACCTTCTGTGACGTCACTACTCGTGGGTCACCGCGTATATAAGCTGAGAAAGGGTTGTGATGTCATTACTGACTATTACGTCACCTTCTGTGACGTCACTACTCGTGGGTCACCGCGTATATAAGCTGAGAAAGCGCACTGTTAGTCAGTCCCAGCAGAGTCTCAGTCTTAGGCAGACAGTCTTCAGCTGCAGTCATGCAGACTCCGGCACTCAGACCAATATGTAGTGTCGTTAACTCTATCTCCCAATCTACTGCACATACTGTGCTTGATCCTGTAACTTCTATCGAGTGTATCCCATGAACCTTTCTTCAATACTTAAGCTTAGATACACGACTTGTTATTTATCCTTCCCTGGCCGATGAGTATTTAATCTGTTATTCGGACAATTTATAAATGAACCAAAACCCCTCAGGTCTATCTACGTCTAATTAGTAGATCAGACAGATCCATTCAAGGTTTTGCCTGTCAACCCAGAACAGAGTTATTCTTAACTTTGACACATGCAGAAACAAAAATAATTCCCATAAAAGCACACCTCGACATGAGAGGAACACTATTCATAGCCGCAGCCATAAACAACACACAACACCCATGCCACTACCTACGCGACCACCCACCTGCACACAGACAAATAGTGCGAACCCCACACAGATACTACACCAACATACTAGATACAGTACCCCCACCCCAAGGCAACACTAGCACAAGAGAACACTTGCACACAATTATGACACTTAGAACGCTGGAGCTGGCGGGCAACAACAAAGTCCTTGGGCACCGACCACCTGACATAAGCAGCACAGAAACACAGCTCTCTAGACTGGAGAGAGTACACCTAGCCAGGCTACGCTGCGTCCACCACCCTTCACTACAAACATACGCAAACAGAATCGGCCAAGCAGACACAGACATCTGCCCATCCTGCCAGAGAGCTCTCCACACAATCACTCACATTCTCCTGGAATGTCCGCTCTGGCAGGATCTCAGACAACACCACCACATAACCTCGACCCTACAGCTCTTGAGCGACCCCCTGTCGGTGGTGTACTTGCGCGGTGGGGGTTTCTTATAAAAATGAGACCGGGGAACCACAACAACAACTCCACAGAATTTTACCCCATGCTATCACTTCTTACACATGCCGTAGGCCTTACTGTCCGCAGACCACGCCGGATCACCGTAAACCTGCTCTGCTATTTGCAGGACTGACGTAATCCCGCCGCACTCCATGGGCAGAAGCTCATATGGCCTAACATATTACGCCATGCCCCGGCTCTCCCCCTTCGCAGTCATTATTGAAGCATACAAGTATACTCATGGCTTATACTAGGTCCCAGAAGGATTACTAGAATTTGAAACAAGAACCAACACCAGGGGCCACGGCTATAAACTAAAAAAACTGCGTCGTAACACATCCATGCGACAACATTTCTTCTCGCTTTGAGTCACCGACATGTGGAACAGCCTCCTTGATAGCATCGTTGACGCTCCGGGTATGAACGCCTTCAAGAACAGAGTGGACGAAGCTATGCAGGAGCATATGTTCTGTCTTAAAATGCCCAGCAAATTATGGACCAGGCAATAAGTCTAGCAGCTATCTCAATCAATCGTCAGTTGTGGAAAGATTGGGTTACAAAGGCCAGATCCCTTGTGAATCAAGTCACGAAAAATTCAAGTATCGGCCATGGGCCTATTTCTTCAGTGCCGACACTTCTATTCTATAAGGCTTTCCTCACTCGCTGATCAGTTGTGCGCCAGGCGCGATGGAGGGAGGGTATGCATGATTGCCTCATATGCATGAGGCGAGCATTTGTTATCCTCTGGGATTTCGTTCACATGGCAGATTGAAAGAATGCTTATAATAAAGTGCAAAATTACGACTTTAAGGAACATTAAAATCTGTATATTAACGATTTTAAGAGGATATGAGCTGCAAGCGATTTGGCTTTCTTTATTGATTGAACTTGTATTCCTTGCAAATTTTCAAACCGATTATGGTACAAAACGTCCGCAATGAAGGTGTGGTAAATTTACTTGGCTTTTTTATTTTCAATTATTTTATTGGCCATAATTTTAAGCAAAGATTAATGTTCAGGATGTAAATACGAGAGGTTGCTCAGGAGGCGTATCGAAATTCCTTAAAAAATTGGCTGACATTAAGATTGGCATGTTTGTTTTGTGCAGACACCGACAATTTGTTTTGAAACGAATGCAAGATTCTCAATGACTCTAATGTCTATACGATAGCTATTCCCTTATTAAACATGATTAACATGACTGAACTGAAGTGATGTGGTCTGTCAACCGTCGCATAACTCCTTGCGCTTCTTAAATAATCTACTTTGCAAGGGAGCGAAATAAAATGCGATGCAAGCGTAATTACTGACACTTATTATAATGAACGAAATGGGAACAATGTTTAGCATGTATTGGGTTAACTCATCCGCTCATGATAAAGATGAAGAAATTTTATTGATATTATCGAATAAAACGTACAAAAACTCCACTTTAAATAAGAAATGATGAATTATTACAGTGCCAACACTGGGTTGGGCTTTGATTACGAGATTATGATTAGTGCCAACGGCTGCGGTTGGGCTTGAACTACGATTACGATACCTGAAATCGTGAGATTGGAGGTTAAGTTTAGATGACGACATCTTAAAGTTACCTAAAATGTTTTAAATTAAAAGAGATGCAATGAATCACAAGTCAGCAGTGAGGCCGTGTAGAGGAGGCGGGGAACAAAGTAGTCTCCCGTGAAAATTTTCTTTATGACTGAATCGAAGAAAACGGGACGGTGATTTTGCTATGTCGCTATATCAGAATATGTCGTACAAAGAAGGCACATCCACGAAAGCGAGGCCAAGGGCCCAAAGAATATCAAACCAAGGCAAAAAGTTTACGCAACAAGTAATTTAATTCAAGTTGATTTCTTCTAGAGTCTAGACGAAGTCATCCTAAAAATTAGCTATGAACTATGATAGTAGGCTATGAGCAGGTTTTCATGGCAATGGTCGCTATCGTAGCTTGGCATGGCGTTAGTCACAATGGCGACTTTTATATTTACTCAATAACATGAATTTGGAACCGTACACATTAACGAACGAAAGAGAAATACATGGACTTATTAAAGCTATAGCAACATATTAAAGCTAACACTGGGCCGGCGTGCGTGAGTTACAACACCTCACTCGCTCCCGTCTCGGACAAATTTACGGCCGGACCCGCGGCCGGTCTCGCGGCCGCCGGACTAAAAACATAGAAAAAACCTAACCAATCAATGAAAACCTCGCAGGTTAGGTCCAGTTAGGAACAGGTTCCAGTAAAAAAAAAACACAAAAAAAAACTAGAAAAAAAACATAAAAACACTAAGAAAACCTTTCGGCCGCGAGACCGGCCGCGGGTCCGGCCGTAAATTTGTCCGAGACATGGCACTGGCGCGGTCAGCGGTGGCGCTGGCATTGGCTGGGCAGGTAACGCGGGAACCGCTTGGAGGCTCGCTTCGTTCATTGAATGATGATTTCGTTAATCTTTGCGATATTTTCTACGCGCTTGTAGAGTGAACGCCGGGATGAGTGAAAATTTTAAGAAAGAATAGCTGAGGATAGGAAAACTTATTGCGTTGAATCTGACGAGTGACAAAACGACGTCACATAATTAATGAATCTTTTCAGTCGTCATTTGAATTTCAATTCATGAATTGAGTCTTAAGAAGTGCTGGCGAAGAATGCAGCATAGAAAAGCTACAAGAAGTAACGAACAATTCAATCTTTGCTCAATGTAGAGGGCAAATAACTTTGAAAGTCAAAACAGGCTGAAAGTCTTACTATCGAATGTAATGGAAGAAACTATTTTCGCTTAAAAATAGCACGTGTGATGAAATGCAACTCAGTTGAAAATAGCAACTAACTGAAATATATATTATGAGTAAATGGGAACTTCAAATAACTATGTGTGAGGCAATGCCGAGGTCTCATTGCCCTTTTGAGGGAGGCGTCTGGCCAAAATTTTTGAATTTTGGCTTTTCCGGTTTTTAGTCTCGTCTCAAAGCTGACATTCTGACCTATCCAACGGTACCAAAATTATCCCTGTACATTGATTTATGTGTTCACGACAGATCGCAAAAGGGTGGGGGCGGTGGAGTTCTTTAACATTTAACATAGGGAATAATTGCCGCAGTGCACTTTAAATAGCTAGTTTTCACACACTTCGCTTCAGTAACCCTGCTGTAGTCG